ATTGGTATCTCCATACTTAAGGGATTACTAGAAAATCTCACTGAATGCAAAATCAAATCTTATTTGCAAGAAAAATATAAGCGGTTTTATTTTTCTGCTTAATAAGCTTTCCTCTAAACCTTTTTATAAGGTGATTTCTCCAAAATCTGCTAGATATTTAAATCCCACATACAATGCAAGAAAGGCAGTCGGAATTTATAGGGTCAGTGGGAAAAGTAAGCGCTTTGGGAACTTCTCTTAATAAGCCATCCCCTTGAAACACTCTTAGCTATTTTTATCCCAAGACCTCTCTTCTTTATAAGAGCTCTTCAAAATCAACTCGACAATAAAATTATGCATGAAATGTTTGCACACAAAACCGCAAAAATGTATTCTTCAATGTGCTTATAACGTCATCGAATTTGAATTTTTGTCGTGTAATTGTAAACTTGACTGTTTTGTAGCCCGGATTTTTTATTTTTTCGGTCTGTGGTTTGCGCAACGTGCTTTTTGAAGTCGGAATGCAATTTGTTTTTTTCGATTTTCGGGCTGTCTGAAATAACAAACCCATATCAGAGTTCGTGGCTCGTAAAAAACACATTAAAATCGTTTGAAATTCATTTAAAATCCATATATTATATATGAAGTACTATCAGCGATGTTAAACAACTTCGAAGGCCCAGAACTTTTCAATTTAAATGTGTACTCCCTTCCGTAATGTAACAAATTTATATTTCTTTTTCGATGACGTTTTATTTTTATGGCCCGACACTTGAGTAAACATTTATGTTCTCAAGCTTAGCCAATTAAAAATTCAATGGGTGAAGTAAGCCCCCTCTCCCCGCCAAAGGGCCACTCACATGATTTCAATTTCAATTAGCGAGTCTTTGAAATAGATGTTTAAGATATGAGTTATGACTAGATGAAATATTTCTTTCGCCCCATTGTTTTCGTGACATTTTCGGGTCTCGAGCTGTCACAAAATGAAATTGAATTGTTCTCCGACTTGTCAGAAGATCGTTTGATTGCCGTTTTGGTACATTTTAATTAAAAGGAAAACGGCGAGAGGGTTGCTGCTGATAGGAGACCAACCGACCGACCTTACCCCACTGAACTCTGCCGGAAAATAACCGAATAATTCCAACGAACCAAAACTGAATCGATAAGGGGAAAATATATAAATTTGGAAACTTTCTGCGAAATGCGGCGGAAATAACTCAAAGCCCCTGGTTAAGTGTTAGATTGTTGAGCAAATATTGAACTTAACCGTGAGTGCCGATTGTTTGTCATGAGTATGTATATACTATATAAGTCTTGCGGATGACTCAAACATTTTTAAGCTTAAAATTTTGGATTCACACGTGTTTGGGCTTTCATTGAGTCTCACCCCCATATGCAAATCATTTGCGATTAAGTCATATTTTCGGCGCTATTCGAATAGAGGAAGTGGGTAGACAAAACTAATTAATCAGAAACCAGCTTTATTTGGGAAAAGAAAACAAAAAAAAAAAAGAAATATGTACAATTGGTAGAACGGCTTGAAGTTTCGACTTCGATTCGTTTGAAAGTCACTCTTTGACTTTCGACAATTTTCTTTGTGTCATTCAAGTGAAAGTTTCCAAATTTCCCACAAGAAATTAACAAACTTCAGTTTCGATTGTTAAGTGTAATTATCGAGTTACATGGTTGTTTCCGCTTATAAAAAATCTTAGAATACCTATCTAAAAGATAATCAATCAATGCGACTTAGTCACACTTAACGCCTCTGGTTCCGCGAGATCTTTAATCTATAATTGAAGGAAATCAATCAAAGTTCTTTGCAAAACCCGTTTCTTTGCTCATCTCAGCTGTTACAGAAACCATCTGGTTTAATGAGCCTATATCCGCCATAACGAATCTTAATTATACCCACAATTAAGGAAGAGACGCGTGCCTTCTAGTTCCTCCTTGGTCGCAAAATTAATGGTTCTTGTGTGGTTTCGCATCTCCAATCGATTAAAATTTATTATCAAGCATACGCCCTGCGAATTTCACTTTTAATTGATTTTTATTGTCCCAAAAAAGATGAATTTTTTACAGAGAAATTTATTTGAGGAATTTTTGTGCTATATCTATGGAATCTACAAATCCCACCCGTTGTTCATCATCTTTTGTCCCCGGAGATTTCTATTTTTGCCAAAAAGTGATGTCATTATTTGTTTATTTGATGTTTAGATTTTAGGGTTGGCTTAAAAGTTTTTTCCCAACGCTTAAAACCGTTGGAAAACATCAATTGAAAACGGTTTTCATGGCCAAAAGTCTTACAGAGAACACAAAAAATCAGGTAAAACCGCTGAAGCGGCGCCCCAAATCAGAATCAATTCCAGCATTTGCATAAACAAAACCCACAAACAGAATGCGAAAGCAGGGAGAAAATCAAAACCAAATCCAAATCAAATTCGGTAGCCGGTGGCGCATGCGCAGAAAACCGCAGAAGAACGAAACGAATTTTTGGGCTTTGAATTTGAAAACCTAACCGAAATTCGAGGTACGACGCTATGATGATGATGTCATCAAAACAACTTCGGTTGCGGGTGTATATCGTGTATATCTTATATTGTATGTGGTACAGCCCCTCCGGGGGGCGTGACCAAATGCCAAAAAATAATAAAGGCAATGGGCACCGAGGAGCTGAGCTAGGGGCCTTTTGAGTATGGCTCAACATTGACTAATTTTCGCAAATAACTTTTGGGGCACATCATATACCAAACACGTACGAACGATCAAAGCTAAGTAGTAGAAAGAAAAAAGACCGAAGTGAAGCTCTCTATAAACAATTTCGATTTCAACAAAAGCAAAAGGCAAACCAAAAACCATAAAAGCATTAGACGAAGTATGTAATATTTCGTTGCCTTTTCTATCGTTATGAGACAATAATCAGCCGAAATGTTTGGTAATCATATTGAAGCTCCACCTTTTAATTAGGTTTTTAAGAGGGGTTTTTATTAATAAATATTTTTATTAGTTGATTTACGATCGAAATTATCTGGAGCTCAGAAATTGTTTTTTATTTATAAATAGTCAAGAATAAAATAGATTGTAAGATGACTTAAATGAATGAAATATATTTATATTATTTGTTTTAAGATCGAAATATACTGGAGCTTGTCTTTATAAAGAGCCAAGAATACCAATAAATTAATAGATGAGTCATAAATCTCTGATTAAATAGAGCTTCCTAATAAATTAATAGACAAACATTAGGCGATCATAAATCTTTGTTTTTCTTAAGCTCAAGTATCTTTCCTACCCAAAAACATTTCCAGTTTAAATCTATTGTTAGAAACTTAAATCCAAGTTTGTCACTTTTTCCTATCCAGTTTTGCTGTTTTCTCTTTGAAATTGTTTGTTATTTTCTCTCTCTTTGATTTTGAAAATTGTTTAGCATGCCAGGCACAAACAAAAGAATTTATAACATTGTGGGTTTCTACTTTTTTTTCGGTCATCTGTATTCTTCTTTTTGACTAAAGCTGAATTTTAATTCCCCGCTGATGAGGTAATTTTATGCATAGAAATTTTGACAACAAAGCCCACAGAGTCCCTAGTTCTCCTCGCTATAGGTCTCATTATTTGCTGCTTTTTAAACATCTCTGCAGAGATGACAATAAAATTAGGTCTTTATCAGACATATTCCATCACTCACGCGAGAGTAATTAAAACAAAGTAACGACTTGGGAAGTTATCTTGCTAGAAAAGTTCTCATTTTGATATACTTTAAAGTATCATTTGGATTCTGGATTCAGTTGCTAAATGATATGTGTGACTTTGCATATGGGCTATAAAAATTAAGCATACAAAATGCTAAATGTTTATTGATTTATGCAAATTTTTACACGATTTCGATGTTGTTGCACGCCCTGTTCATTAGCTAAATGTTTATGTGGAACACTGCGAGATTAAGATCTGCCCGAAAAATACGATACAAATCGAGTTTAGAGTGTTTGCGATGAGTGAAGTGTGGCTTCGGGTGTTTAAAAATAGAAAGAGGCGCGGAATTTGAGTATTCCTCTGCTTGCAGCTGCTGCGCATGTGCTCTGGGTATTATATGTTATATCCCGATTGAAGTAAACAGGATGCCCGGAATTCGACCCTCAGTTTGCCTCCCTTTTTCCGGGATATATGTTGTGTATATAAATAGTTTATAGTCAAAGACAGCTGTGTGTGACTTTGCTTGGGGTATTTTCTATTTTTGGGATATCAAGGAATTAAAGAACCCCCGGCATTAATTGCTTTTCCAGCTAAGCCTAAAGTTATGCCGCAGTTCCATATTCCAGAACCCTTCAACTTTTGTGTTTGCCATGCCATGCTGATAAGAAATATCCCCTTATCGGCGGTATGGTAAAGTTTATTGTCACACTGGCCGTGTTGTTCGTGTTTTTATTGTTTAGTTTTCACCTCTTTTTAATTGATTTTCCTATTTGCCCAAGCGAAGTGTTCTGTTTGCCAATTTGCGGCGCGAATGCCTTCCAGGTGACCTCAGCTTTTGGCCTTTGGCGGTGGGGCACGAATATAAATGATCTATTAACAGACTTATGTCAGTTCGAGTAGGTAGCCGCAGATTATAACTCTTTCGCATGATGTCATATGAGATTGGCTATGATCAGTTTTTGGCATTTATTCAATGGGATATGACAGGGACTCATAAATAACTTGATATTGCGGTGCATTCCCCTCTATAAATATCCCACAACATATGTCCGTGGTATGCGGGATTTATCGGCAGATAAGATAAAGCCTCTATTAGCTTTATGTCGAATGCAAAAGATTTTAACAAACCCTTACCGTTTTACCCTTCTTACCACTCACTTTATGCGATAAAAGGAATTCACCATAGGCCAGTTGAGGAATTTCTGTTGCCACTTTTGGCTTGGCTTTTAATTCATCTGATAAGTTAAGTTAAAAAAGGGGGAGGAAGCTTTCCCCCACTCTGAATCTGAATTGTTGGGGCCAGCGAATTGTTGGTCGCACATTTTTTTCAGTGACCAAACGGCGCGGGCTCTGCGTAGAACTATAGACTGTATAATCGAGAATTAGTAGTGCCCCCCCCAAAAAAAATATAATCGAAATTTAAAACGAAAAATTAATAATTAAGAACAGCACTTTGTGCTGATAAATTCGAAACCCCCTCGAAATCAGTGATCAAAGACCATGGAGTACAATAGCATTTTGCGTTCGAACTTTTCGCGCAATGAATATCGGCGATATATATCCTACGAACGCCAGTCGTTGGGTAGGTTTTCCTATGAACTTGAACTTTTTCGATCATCATTATACAATATCAAAACGAAAGTAACCCGTTCTTATCTATTCAGTTGGGTGGAACTTCGTTTTTGAGTTGATAAGCGGGCAAATATTTGACAAATGAGTCGACCGATGGCCTAGAAGAATGGGTTCGTTTTCTGCAGTTTCCGCTCTGTTTCCGGCCAGTTTTTTTTCGGTTTTTGGCATATTCTCTTCTTGCCCAGTATTACGTAAAACGAACCGTTGATAAAAACGAAACAAAACCGTGAAGCGTTTTCGATGGGTATGAAGTAATTTCGGCAGTCGAAAGATAAGCTCGCCAAGGCAAAAATATCACTGGGCAACAAGTATTTTGTATTTTGGTTTTCGATACGCTGGCTGGGGGTATAATCACTGGAACGTAAAGTTGGGAACCTAAACTTGGATTGTTTATAGTTGATTGAGCAGAAAATGTCTTAATAAATAGTAATTATTAAAGATGTTTTGGATTTTCCAATTTATTAATTTCCATATTGTTTTTTAAAAATAAAATGTTTAATAGTTTAATATTAAAATTTTGTAAAATTTTATATTTTATTTTTAAATTTTATAAAATAAATAAAAAAGTTTTTATCAGAATATAAAATAATCAAGTTGTCTAAAAATGTTTAATGAAGAGCTAATGCAATATGTGTAGTAATAATTACTTAAAGTTGTTGATATCAAGTCAACTAGGGGAGAGTGGGGGAATTTCGTCAGCATTTTTTCAAAGCTATTTTTTGTCCATCTTGAGACACGTTATCATATTTCTTTTTTTATTGTTGAATGCGGTTAGCACCAAGCTTTAAAATGTGACATTCCCCTATTTTTTTAATTAGCTTGGTGATTTATAAAAAAATAAAATGTAAAACCAATATACTGGGGCAATCTCACCCCACAGGGGGGTAAAATCACCACACAACTGGGGAAATTTCGTCACCTGAAAAATGTAGGGAGTTTAACGCCTGAAAATATGCTACACTGATCAAGCGTACCATTTTTGTTGACGTCCTATATTTGTTGCTGCTGCTGGTAGTCTGTTCGTTAGCCAGCTTGTCAAATATAAAAATATGTATTTAAAATAGGTGCGAATTTACCCTTAGCGTAGGGTGGCGAAATTTCCCCAGACCGTACTTTTTTAGAAATAATTATTTTTCTTGCGAAATTAGGCGCGAAGTTAAGAATCACTGACGCAGAAATGCACATTATAGCACTGTGTATTATATAAAAAATCGTGTATCTTATTCCTTTTGAATTGTGGCATACAGAAAAAATTTCGTCGAGAACTAAATGTAGCTTTTGAACTGTTAAAACACATTTAATATTATAGCTTAATTATCTTGGCCTTCTGTGCAAAACAAATGCATTGGTTGTGTCTGGCCGTCTTGAAGGACTAAAACAAAAAAATTATATATTTTTACGACTTATGGATTCCGAGATATTGCAGGTGACGAAATTGCCCCTGTGACGAAATTCCCCCACTCTCCCCTAATAGTTATATCTTAAATTTCTTTGAGAGTGTTTTAAGTTTTAATCAAAAGAACCACAGAAATTTGTTAGCAAGTTTGTGCAATTAAGATCTAAATGTGAAACGCCAATCGACTTGGCTTATCTTTACGGGTCTCACAAAAAGAAACTTCTACTACGTGATGAGGTGTCGAATTTGAACGTTTTTGTTGGTTACTCGCTTCAAATTCCCCTAGGTAATCTTCGACATTGCTCGAATTGGCTGATAGAATGTTTTAAAATTAGGAATTACGATTGACACAGGCGTAAACTATAAATGAATCGCCTTGGAATGTCGTTCTAACTTTAGCCAGTGTTTAGTATTAGTATTTTTTTATAAAAGCAATTATGTTGGCGATAAGCTGTTATCTCTGAATCAATACGTTCAGACGTCACGGGTGTGCTTTCTCTATCTCTGCTAAATACTTTCCGTATTTTTCCCCTATTTGCTGTGTTTCCCATTATTGATTTTGGTCTGTTGTCAGGTGGTTTAACCATTTCCTCTCTCTACAAAATAGGAAAAAAAAATCAAAATAAAGCTAAACGTTTTGCGTTGCATTTCTAAGACTTCGTACTAATCCGAGATTTATTTTGTTCGTTTTTTTTCCTCCATTTTAGCATCACAATATGAGCCGGGAGGCTACTCCGCGCTGCAAACGCCAACGCCTTCCAACCGAAACTCCGCCAACATGACCCAGCGGGACGGCATCATCAAGTTCGAGAACGAGCGGATCAAAACGCTGCAGGAGGAGCGATTGCACATTCAGAAGAAGACATTCACAAAATGGATGAACTCGTTTCTGATCAAGGTGGGTTGAAAAACTAGGGGAAAATTTTTAATATTTTATAAGTCACTTCTGCTTACAAAATATTGTTTGAATTAAAATCGTTAAAATGTTCTAATATCTAAATGTAATTGCAATATTATCAATTTTGAATACCAACTTTTTGTATAAGATCATAATTGTATAAAAGTTAAAATTGGACCAGTATCACTGGAAATTGAATGTAAAAAAACTAATTTTCTTATTTCTTTCTTAAAAAAATTGCTCATAAATCCAAGGTCTATTAAAATATAATTCCACATATGCACTTATAATGTCTTAAATCTCTTAAAAATATTAGTAAAAATTCCTTTCTAGTAATATTATCAAAATAAACTTATTTTTGTAAAAATCTTTTCACCAAATTGGTCTGTTAAAAATGAAAGCGATATTTGGTGATTTCAAAAATTAGGTATTCCCTTAAAATTTTTGATTGTAATAAATTTTGATGGCACCTGCAATATAAACGAATGCAACTCACATTTGGGCTATTGTCTTTCTTTTTTAGGCCAAAATGGAGGTCGAAGACCTATTCACAGACCTGACCGATGGCATCAAGCTGCTGAAGCTGCTGGAGATCATATCGTCGGAGAAACTGGGCAAGCCGAACAGCGGACGCATGCGCGTCCATAAAATCGAAAATGTCAACAAGAGTCTGGCATTCTTGCACACCAAGGTGAGAGATATACCATATAAATAAGCTGCAGTTTGACTGAAGACTAAAGACTGAAGAGTGGAGACTGGAGAGTGAAGAGTGGAGAGCTCTCTACGCATTTGTAGAAAGTGCAAGTCGCGCCTGCGCAGCTGCGCGTGGCCATTGCGTGCTTTGTTTGCCATATGAGTAGAGCTCCATGAATATGGGATCTCGGATCTCTGGAGGGAAGTGAGCGAAAGACCAAGACATGGTGAAAAATATATATATATTTAATTACCTTGCCTGGGCACCAACACCGTCTTTTTCTTGGCAATTTCTGAAATATTTGCATACTTTCTAATGCATTTTTTTCCTTGACTTCACTTCACTGCAGTTCGCTTGGCACATTTTCCAATGTACTTTCTTTGCACCTCTCGTGCGCATTTGATTTTAATTGTGCAAAGTGGCAGCTTAGCGTGCGACATAGTTTCGAATCTTCTGTGCAGTTAGGAGCCTCTACTAATCTAATTAGAAGCAATTAAAACGCTGCAATTTGTCCCATTGCCCAACTAATTCACTTTGTTTCTTAATCGCTTGCAGTGAAAGTTTTTTCAGTTTTACTTTTCACCAATTCATTTCGTATTTTATTTGTTTTTCGGGCTTGTGTCTTTTTCTCTCGCTTTGTGTGACATGGGTATTGAGTGCATTTTAATTGGTTTTTAGGCTTGAAAGAAGCCCGGGCGAAAGATTTACGCACAAGCGAGCATTTCGATGGAGAGGATCCCAGGGGAACCATTGAAGCGTTCAGCGGAGCACGACTCTCGGAATCTCCAGAAGAGTCGCCATTAGGAGAACCAAAGGGCGTAGCTCCGCTCTAGACCTTAATATACCGGAATATTTTCCAAAGAGTCTATTAAACTAAACTGTTTCTCGGGAAGGCACAGTTTCAGATATATTTCCACAGTAAAAATGGGTGAATTCTGTGTCAATACTTTAAACGCTTGAAATAACCAGTTAATTTGTTGGTTTCTTTTACCAAAAATAAAATCCAAATAGATTTTGAATTTAATTTTTAAGAGGAAACGCCCAGTTTTTCTAATTTGGGGTCATAAATATTATGTAAAACAATAAACTGACTAAACCTTTTTAAAATTCTATCATAAATGTAAGATTTATTTTCAAAAAGTCCCATATTATTATCTAAAATATATTCAAGAAACACCTCTATATTTTTCTAAAATATAAAATTTCTGGTAATAAGATCATGTTAATATTCACTTTGCTCATAAATCAGCAACCCAACCGCTGACCATTTTGTAGCTATGATAATGCGATTTAGATCGATATCAGCTGGTAACTTATGCTTTCTTCGCTGGGATTATCGTGCGAGTTACCTGCCCACCGAACTGACTGACCCACTATAAATGCAAATATGTAGCAGGCAGGCAGGTGACCCACATGAACCCGCCGGAGGTCAAGCACCTCCACCTGATAATGCGTGACTCTCGTTGGACAGACAGACCCAGTTTGGATATGTATCGGTATCTGTGGGTTGTGGAACTCTTGGTAACCCAATACGCAGCTTACCCACTCCATTCACCTGAAAGAAACGCTGAAAGAAATGCAGAAGAGATAGTGTGGAGAATGGAAATAATGCATACGATGGTTTCCTCTTTCTTTTTTCCGCTCTTAGGTCCGTTTGGAGTCCATTGGTGCTGAGGACATTGTCGATGGCAACCCCCGTCTCATCCTGGGTCTCATCTGGACCATCATTCTGCGGTTTCAGATTCAGGAAATTGAAATCGATGTGGTAAGTTGTGACTGTTCCTATTATTAAAATATTTATTTAATTTATTTAATTATCTATTTTTTTAGGATGAGGAGAACGAGTCCAGCGAGAAGCGTTCCGCCAAAGATGCGCTGCTTTTGTGGTGCCAGCGCAAGACGCATGGCTATCCGGGTGTCAACATCACCGACTTTACCAACTCCTGGCGCTCGGGATTGGGCTTCAATGCGCTCATCCACTCGCACCGTCCCGATCTGTTTGAGTACAGCACCATTGTCAATTCGAAGAACTCCAACCTGGACAACCTTAACCATGCCTTCGACACGGCCGCCAACGAATTGGGCATTCCCAGGTGAGGATCTAAGATTATATATTTAGTATAATATAATATATATGAATATTATGAATATTATATAATATAATATTCATAAAGAACTATGTTTTTTTTTTATTCTAAAAAAAATTATAACAAAATACCCAAAAACTTTTTAAAAAATATTTTAATGACAAATCTTTTTAAAACCAATCTTATGATTTTTTTATTTATCAAATTAACTTATTTTTTATTAATAATAAAATTTAATTTTATGTTTTTGTTGTCTGGCTCCAGATTATGAAAATTAAATTTAAATAAGGAATTATTATAATAATGATCTTTTTTTATTTAAAATCAATTTAATTTTTTAAAATCAAAATATATATTTATTTATGATCATTAAAGTCATGTGATTAAAATCAAACAATTATGTTTAACAATTTTTGACTGCCTACAGAAGTATTATACCTATAGTAAACCAATTCATGGTCCTTCTTAAAAATTATCCGAACTATTTTATATACTTTTATAAAGAGTTTACATTTCTTTCCTAATTAAACAAATGTCAAAGTATCTAATTAAATTTCTCCCCCGTATTTTTCAGCCTGCTCGATGCGGAGGACATTGACTCGGCCCGACCCGACGAGAAGTCGATCTTGACCTATGTGGCCTCCTACTATCACACCTTTGCACGCATGAAGAACGAACAGAAGAGCGGCAAGCGCATAGCGAATGTAAGTAAACAAGACCTGGGATTCGGATTCAGGTTCATATGCAGAATCAGATGGGATGCCCATCCATCGCCTCTGGAAATCGCTGCAGCGTAACGGTGTCCCACAGTTAACGCTCTACTTCACAATGGATTGGCCCCCAATTGGATTCGTATTCGGATTCCCCGGATTCGGATTCGAATGCGGATTCCGATTCGGGTGGGGTCCAGAGACCTACACCTAGAAAGTTGTTCAACCAGCTATATTTCTTTCTATCTTTCGATACCACCTTTCCCCGCAGATTGTCGGCCAGCTGATGGATGCCGATCGCAAGAAGATGCAGTACGAGGGTCTGACCACAAACCTGCTGAGCTGGATCCGCCAGAAGACGCTGGAGCTGGAGCAGCGCGACCTGCCCAACTCGCTGGAGGGCATCCAGCGGGAACTGCTGGCCTTCAAGGAGTACCGCACCATTGAGAAGCCACCCAAGTGAGTAGAGAGGGTTTCATGACCAGCCGGAAATGATAGAGAGTAATGTATTCAAGAGATTGGAAGGCATGAGATCTATGTGGAAATGGAAAAATATCGATATTTTCGATGATTTCACAATATTGTGTCGATAATGACGATATTTTCAAGACAAAGAAGTAAAATTAAAAATATATATTATGTTTATTTTCTGATAAAAATCGATTAAAAAAATCTATAATCTATTATTGAAATCTATTATCGAAAATATCGATATTGACGATATTTTTAAGTTAACCTTTAATAAGAAAACGTCAGGAAATCATCGATGGTTCCGATAAAAATCTATTATTAAAATCTATAATCTATTATTGAAATTATAATTCGAAAATTTTTATTATTATAATCGAAAATATCGATTTTCTCGATATTTTTAAGTTAACCTTATAATAATTATGACTTTTCCCCTCTATTTTCAGATACAAGGAGCGCAGTGAGATCGAGGCCCTGTACTTCACCATCAACACCCTGCTGAAGGCCCTCAATCAGCCGTCCTTCAATCCCCAGGATGGTCAGCTGGTCAACGACATTGAGAAGGCCTGGCAGATCCTCGAGTACGCCGAACATCATCGCGAGGTGGCCTTGCGGGAGGAACTGCTGCGCCAGGAGAAACTGGAGCAGCTGAACTACAAGTTCGAGAAGAAGTCGGTGCTGCGTGAGGGTTATCTCAAGGAGATGATCCAAGTGCTGTCCGATCCGCGCTACCTGCGCCAAGTGGATGCCACTCTGAAGAAACACGAGGCCATCTCTGCGGATATTCTCGCACGCGTTGAGCGATTCAATGACCTGACCGCCATGGCCGAGGAGCTGGACAGGGAGAACTATCATGGCAAGGAGCGTGTGCGTCGCCGGGAGCAGGAGGTGATGGCCAAGTGGCGCCAGTTGCTGGAGCTGCTGGAGAATCAGCGTTTGAACCTCTCGCAGATGAGCAACCTGATGAATTTGCTACGCGAAATTGCCAGCACCACCGAAGCTGTGCGCGAGTTGCAGCAACAGTTCGCCTCCGAGGATGTGGGTCCGCATCTCCTAGGAGTGGAGGAACTCCTCCAGGCCCATTCGCTGCAGGAGCTGCAGGTTAATACCTACGGAGAAACCCTCAAACGCTTCAATCGCCAGGCGCTGCCCTACAAGAGCTCGGAGCACAAGGATGCCGCTCTGCTGGCCCAACGTCTCGCCGATCTGGAGGAGGCCTATTCGGAGCTGCTGCGTCGTTCGGCGGCGCGAAGAGCTCGCCTGGAGGAGGCCCGGAACTTCCATCACTTCATGGAGGACTACGACAACGAGGAGTCCTGGCTGGTGGACAAGCAGCGCATCTGTAAAACCGGCATCACGGCGAAGGATTTGCGGGCAGTGCTCTCGCTGCAGCAGAAGCACAAGGCTCTGGAGGATGAGATCAAGTCGAGGAAACCGAAATCCGGTCAGATGTCCGATGCGGGCAAGCGACTGATTGGCGAGGAGCATCCACGCTCTTCGGAAATCCAAAGTAGGATTGATTCTTTGGCGGAACATTGGCAGGCTTTGGAGGCTCTAGTGGAGCTGCGTCGCCGCCAATTAGAGGACGCCGCCGAGGCCTACCAATTCTACACGGATGCCAACGAGGCCGAGTCCTGGCTGAACGAGAAGATGGCGCTGGTTAACTCGAGGGATTACGGAAACGATGAGCCCTCGGCGCAGGCTCTGCTCCAACGTCATCGCGATCTGCAGGGTGAACTGAATGCCTATTCCGGGGACATTCTCAATCTCAATCAGCAGGCCGATAAGCTGATTAAGGCGGGCATTTGCACCCTGGAACTTTCCGCCGTGGAGCCGGAACTCCCGGAGCAGGAACAAGAGGAGTGGGTCAACGAGACGCGACTGGTGCCCAAAGAAGTCTGGGAGGACGAGTGGGTGGAGAAGCTGGAGCACAAGAAGGTCACCGAGACGAAGATGCTGCCGCATGTCAAATCCCTCTTTCCCTTCGAGGGTCAGGGCATGAAGATGGACAAGGGCGAGGTGATGTTGCTCAAGTCCAAGACCAACGACGATTGGTGGTGTGTGCGCAAGGATAACGGAGTGGAGGGATTTGTGCCAGCCAACTATGTGCGTGAGGTGGAACCCCGTCCAGTGGCCTGCATTGTTCCGAAGGCAGAAAAGGTCAAATCCCTGCAGAAGGTGAAGAAGACCATCCTCGTTCGCCAAGTGGTTCCTGTCAAGAGAATCAAACCAGTGAGTGTGGCACCCAAACCGCTCGTCCAAAGGAGAACCTCCACCCAGAGCATCAACGAGAATGCCGACAGCGTGGAGAAGCGTCAGCAGAGGATCAATCAGACCTACGACGAACTGCAGGAGATGGCCCAGAAACGCCATGCCCTCCTAGAGGACTCCATCCATCTCTTTGGCTTCTATCGCGAGTGCGACGACTTTGAGAAGTGGATGAAGGAGAAGGAGCGCATGATCAAGTCGGATGAGGGCGAGGGCGTGGACAACGCGAAGCGCAAGTTCGAGAAGTTCATCACGGATCTCTCAGCTGCTTCGAAGCGAGTTGAGGAAATCGATGGCGCTGTGGACACCTTCCGCCGCCAGGGACACTCGCAGCTGGACAAGATCATCGCCCGTCAGCGACAGATTCATCAGATTTGGCAGCGACTCAACAATGCCAAGGCTCAGAGGGAAAAGAGCCTGGAAGGAGCCTCCAGCGTGGAGCTATTCAATCGCACCTGCGACGAGGCGAAGGTCTGGATGAGCGAGAAGATGCTGCAGTTGGACACGGCTGTCATTACCCCAGATCTCCGCACCGTTCAGGCGCTGCAGAGACGCCATCAAAACCTCGAGAGAGAACTGGCTCCCGTGGAGGAAAAGGTCAATCGGGTGACTTACCTAGGCAACTCGGTGAAGAATTCCTATCCGGCGGAGAAGGACAATGTGAATGCCCGCCAACAGGAAGTCCAGGACATGTGGCAGCAGGTTCAACAGCGTGGCAGTGACCTCCGCAATCGCATCGAAAGCGAGGTGGGTCAGCAGATCTTCAACAACAGTGCCAAGGTTTTGTTAGCCTGGATTGATTCGGTGAAGGATCAACTGAATGCCGATGAGTCTGCAAGGGATGTTGAGACTGCCAACAATCTGCTGAAGAAGCACAACGATTTGGGCGATGATATCCGTGCCCATGACACCGAATTCGTGGAAGTCATCCAATTGGGAAAGCAGCTCTCCGATGGCAAACCCCACATGGCGGAGACTGTGGCCGTAATTGAACGCCTGAAGGCCGAACAGGATGCCATCCATCGCGGCTGGGCCGAGAAGCAAAAGTGGCTGCTGCAGTGTGTCGAACTGCAGATGTTCAACCGGGAGGCGGACAAGATCGATGCCACCACCAAGAGTCACGAGGCCTTCCTGGAGTACAACAATCTGGGAGTGAGTTAGGGTTACTTTCTATTTATTTTTTTATGGAAACTAATTGGTTTGGTATTATTACAGTCCTCTCTGGATGAAGTGGAGGCCATTCTGAAGCGCCATCTGGACTTTGAGAAGAGCCTGATGGCCCAGGACAAGATCTTGAAGGGTTTCTCGGACAATGCAGACAAGCTGATTGCCAACGATCACTACGATTCGAAATAGTAAGTGTTTTTTTTGGTTCAATCTAATATAATAAAAAAGCACCCCTAAAAAAGGGCAAGTTAAATCGGTAGCCTAAATGGTTTGGCTTAAAAGTCTAAAAAAATATAAATAATTTCAGCAATAATATTCTAATAAATATAGGATACATAAATTTAAAATTGTACTCCTTTAACCCTATAATTGAACCCAACATTCTAACAAATCTAACCTAATAAAATAGTACCCATAAAAAAGGGGAAGTTGAAAACAGCCTAAATGGTTTTGCTTAAAAATAAAAAAAAATATAAATAATATGAGCATTTTTTTTAAAGTTTTACTGTTTTAAACCTCTTATTGAACCCAACAATCTAACAAATCTAATCTAATAAAATTGCACCCCTAAAAAAAGGGAAGTTGAAACGATAACCTTTGGGGTTTGGCTTAAAAATCTAAAAAAATATAAATAATATCAGTAATAATATTCTAATAAATATGGGATATATAAATTTAAAAATTTTACTGCTTTAACCCTATAAATGAACCCAACATTCTAACAAATATTTCAACTTTCAGCATCGGAGATCGCCGCAATCAGGTTCTGGGCAAGCGCAAGGCGGTCAGGGATCGCGCCTTCGAGCGCAAGCGTCTTCTGCAGGCCTCCAAGGACTTCCACAAGTTCGCCGCCGAGGCGGATGACCTCAAGGTTTGGCTGCAGGACAAGACGAGGATTGCGGGCGACGAGAACTACCGGGATCTGAGTAACCTGCCCCGCAAGTTGCAGAAGCACCAGGCCTTCGAGCGGGAACTCCGCGCCAACGAGGGTCAACTGAGGAATGTGACCAAGGATGGCCAGGCGCTCGTCCAGGCCGGCAATCGAGTGCCCGAGGTGGAGTCGCGAGTGGCCGATCTGAACAAGCGCTGGAAGGATCTGCTCACCCTGTCCGAGGACAAGGGTCGTAAGCTGGAGCAGGCCGCCTCGCAGCGGGAGCACAATCGCTCGCTGGAGGATGCCAAGAAGAAGGTGGACGAGCTGGACGCTGCCCTGCGAAGTGGCGATGTGGGCAACGATTTGCGCAGCTGCAAGGATCTGATCAACAAGCAGCAGATTCTCGAATCGGAGATCACCATTTGGGATCAAAAGGTGGCGGAACTAGTGTCCACTGGCGATGACATGGCCCACGAGGGTCACTTCAATGCCCAGAATATCGAAGCGGGCACCAAGGAGCTGCAGCAGCGCTTCAAGGACCTTCGTGATCCCACCCAGCGTAGGCGGGCCAAGCTGGAGGAGAGCTTGAACTACCACAAGTTTGTGTTTGAACTGGACTCGGAATTCCAGTGGATCAACGATCATTTGCCGGCGGCCAAGTCCAATGAGCTGGGACAGAATCTGCACCAGGCCCAATCGCTGCACAAGAAGCACAAGAAGCTGGAGGCGGAGATCAAGGGTCACCAGCCGGTGATCAACAAGGCTTTGCTGGCGGGTCAATCGCTGATTGCGCAGCAGCATCCGGAGCGCGAGCAGGTGGAGCAGCTGTGCCAGCAGCTGGAGCACGCTTGGCAGGATCTGGAGCGGCACTGCGGCGAGCGATCGCGCAAACTGGACATGTCCCTCAAAGCCCAGCAGTATCTGTTCGACGCCGGCGAGATCGAGTCCTGGCTGGGTGAGCGCAACAATGCCTTGCGATCCACGGAATATGGCCGTGATCGCGACTCGGCGGCCAAGCTGCTCACCAAGCACAAGACCATCGAGCTGGAGCTGGACACCTACTCGGGCATTGTCACTGAAATGGGTCATAGTTGCGCCGCCATGGTGGCCGCCAATCATCCGGATAGCAAAGTGCTGGCCGCCAAGCAGCAGTTGATTGAGAAGATGCTCAAATCCCTGCACAAGTTGGCCTCCCAGCGACAGGGACGCCTCATGGAGAGCCTCTACAAGCACGAGTATTTCCTCGAGTCCGACGAAGTGGAGCAGTGGATCAGGGAGCAGGAGCAGGCCGCCTCCTCGGAGGATTACGGCCAGGACTTTGAGCATCTGCAGCTGCTGCAGAATAAGTTCGATGATCTGAAACACCGCGTGGAAGTGGGCGCCGATCGAGTGGATCAGTGTGAGTTGCTCGCGAAGAAGCTTATTGATTCCGAGAGTCCGTATGCCAACGAGGTGGAGAAGCGACAGGAGCAACTGAGGTGAGTATTTTAAATTATTTTGAATTTTTTGTTTTATATAAATGAATTAATTCCAATTTTGAGTTTAATAGAATTGAATTAATTAGAATTTTGAGTTTAATTGAATAGAATTGAATGAATGAGTGGGATGAATTCCAAAATAAACAAAAAACAATTTCTTTTGAACAAGAAAGGACCATCATTTTGTGATTAAATCTGAATGAATTTTATTTTCCAAGCAGCTAACATTGATTTTGTCCACTTTTTGTTCTCAAAACAAAGCACAAAAAAATCTGGCAGATTTAAAAAATTCACAAAAATTATTCATTCAATTCGAAATGAATTAGAAAAACATTCAATTTATTTCACATTGAATTAAACAAATCAAAAATTTCATGATATACTATGAAAAAACAAAAAATTGAATGATTCACGCAGGGCTCTAATAAGTAGGTAATCTTTTAACCAAGAAACTAAACTAATTATTTGTAATTTCAACCCATAGAACCTCCTGGGAGAACCTCTTGCAACTGCTGAACCAGCGGGAGCAGAAGCTCCATGCGGCTGGCGAGATTCACCGCTTCCATCGCGACGTGGCAGAGGCTCTGTTCCGCATTCAGGACAAGAATGCCGCGCTTTCTCAGGAACTCGGCAGGGATTTGAACTCCGCCTTGGCACTCCTCCGCAAACATGAGGGTTTCGAGAACGATCTGGTTGCCTTGGAGGCTCAACTGCAGGTGCTAGTGGAGGATTCCGTGCGCCTGCAGGCCAAGTATCCTTCGAATGCCGCTGCCATTGCCCAGCAGCAGGATAAGGTGGTGGCCGCCTGGAATGACCTGAAGGAGAGGTCCACTGCTCGCGGAGATCGTCTGGCTGCCAGCTCGGATTTGCAGACTTTCTTGACAGATGTGAGGGATATTGTTTCCTGGTCTTCCAATCTCCGTGCTGCTTTGCAAGCAGAGGAACATGTAAGCGATGCCGCTGGAGCCACCGCCCTGAAAATCCAACACGATGCCATTTATGGAGAAATCGAGGCGAGGGAGGATAAGTTCCGGTACCTCAACGAACTCAGCGATTCCATGGTTCAAACTGGTCACTATGCCGCCGCCGATGTGGAGGAAAAGTGCGCCGCCATGTTGGATGAGCGCCAGAAGCTGCACGCCGCCTGGAACAAGAAGAAGATTATGCTGGAGCAGAAAATCGATTTGTTCTGCTTCCTGCGCGATGCCAAGCAGATTGATAACCTATCCAGCTCCCAGCAGGCTGCCCTGAGTAGCTCCGATTTTGGCCAGACGGTGGAGGATGTGCAGAACAAGATCAGGAAGCACGACGAATTCGAGCGACTGATTCAAACGCAGGAGGAGAAGGTGGCCCTGCTGCAGGAGCACGGACGCAAGCTGATCGAGCAGCGTCACTACGACAGTGCGAATATCCAGACTATTCTCCAGGGAGTCCTCGCCCGTCGCCAAAAGGTCAAGGATTTGTGTGCGGTGCGTAGATACAAACTAGAAGATGCTCTGCTCTACGCGAAGTTCGTGAGAGATTGCGCGGAGGCAGAGTCCTGGATAAATGAGAAGCAGAAGAAGCTGGAAGCTGATGCGGCTAGCTATGCGGAGGTCACTAATCTAGATGAGAAGATCAAGAAGCTGCAGAAACACCAGGCCTTCCAGGCCGAGGTGGCCGCCAATCAGGGTCGCATTCAGGAGATCCAAGATACGGGAGTCATACTCCTCAGCAAACAGCACGAATCCTCGCCTGAAATTAAGCTGGCCATTGAGAGGGTACTCCAAGCTTGGCAGGGATTGCTGGCGGAGCTGGAGCAGCGCGGCCGCGGGCTGGAGGAGGCCCAGGACAGCCTGGAGTTCAACAGTCAGCTGGACAAGATCGAGGCCTGGATCCGTGACAAGGAGATGATGGTCCAAGCCAGCGACACTGGTCGCGATCTGGAGCACTGCAATGCGCTGATGCGGAAACTCGATGACGTGGACTCCGACATGCGGGTGGACGATCAGCGGGTGAAGCACATCAACCAGCTGGCCGACAAGCTGATCAACCAGGCTCAAGTCCCCGCGGATACCCAGAGTGTGGATAAGAGAAGGAAGGACTTTAACTACAATTGGCGGCAACTCCAAGGTGCCTTGAATGCCTATCGTGCCTTGCTGGGCGGAGCCAACGAGATCCATGTCTTCAATCGCGATGTGGATGACACGGCGGAGCGGATAGCTGAAAAATCACTGGCCATGAGTTCTACTGACACAGGCAGGGATCTGGCTGCAGTGGAGGCTTTGATCCGCAGGGAGGAGGCTTTGGAGAGGGATATGTCTGCTGTTAAGCAAAAGATTGATCAGCATGAAACGGCTGCTGAATTCCTCATCAAAAAATATCCCGAACGTGGAGCTGTTCATATCGAAAGGAAGCTGGAAGAGCTGCATAAATCCTGGGGAAATCTGCAAGCTTTGTCTGTGAAGAGGCAGAGCATCTTGAATGAAGCTTACTTAGCACACAAGTTTGTCTCGGATGTCAAAGAACTAGAGCTGTGGGTCAATGATATGATCAAGAAGATGAACAATACACAGGCTCCATCCACCATCAACGATTGCGAGACCCAGTTGGAGTTGCACCAGGAACGCAAGGTGGAAATCGAGGGAAGGGAGGAGGCCTTTGCTGGACTAAAACAACAGGGAGATCAACTAAGCTCCAGGCCACAACAACAGCAGCCGGAGAATGTGAAGAGATACCTGCTGGTCCTCGAAGAACTCCACTCCAACCTCAACGAAGCCTGGAGCGAGAGGGCCAGGGATCTGACCGAGGCACATCAACTGCAGCTCTTCAAGGCGCAAGTGGAGCAGGTGGAGATCTGGCTGGCCAACAAGGAGGCCTTCCTCAACAACGACGATTTGGGAGACTCCTACACAGCCGTAGAGAGACTCCTCAAGAAGCACGATGAATTCGAGAAGCTGCTGCAATCCGATCATGTGGACACTTTGCAGAAGTTTGCCAATAGCATTTTGGAGGGAGAACCCAAGGATGCGGATTTGATACGCGAGAAACTAGCTTATATCTTAAGGAGAAAGCAGAAGCTGCTGGAGCTTTCAGAGGAAAGGAAACAACGCCTCATTCAATCGCTGCAACTGCAGGAGTTCCTGAGGAGTCTCTACGAGATTGATCGCTGGCTGGTGCAGAAATTACAGGTGGCTTTGGATGAAAACTACCGGGAGCCGAGTAATCTGCAGAGCAAGATCCAGAAACATGCTGCTTTTGATGCTGAACTCCTCAGTAACTCTCCCCGCGTTCAGTCGGTCATCCACGAGGGCGAGCGGCTCATCCGCGGCGAGCACTTTGCCAGGGACGAGATTGCCCAGCAGGTGCAACTCCTCGAGGGAGATTGGCTCAAGCTGAAGGCTGCCTCGCAGACGAAGAAGGAGAAGCTGCAGCAGGCCCACGATGCGCTGGCCTTCAATCGCAGCGTGGATGAGTTTAACAACTGGATGGACGAGGTGGAGCTGCAGCTGAGCAGCGAGGATTATGGCAAGGATTTGGCTGCTGTTAGCAATCTCCTCAAGAAGCACGAACGCCTGGAGGCCGATGTGGCCCATCATGGTGAATTGGCGGAGCAGCTGAAGCAGAAGGATGAGCAATTCTTCCAGGCGGATCACTTCCTGCGTCACGAGATTCACGAGAGGGCCACTGTTAGCATCAGGAGGTATAATACCCTCCATGAACCTTTGGGGATTCGCAGGGAGAACCTCGAGGATTCCCTGAGCTTGCAGCAATTCTTGAGGGATGCTGAGGATGAACTACAATGGCTGGCGGAGAAGCAATTGGTGGCGGGCTCCCAAGATCTGGGCACTAGTCTCCTTTCCGTTCAGGGACTCCAGAAGAAACACAATTCTTTGGAGGCCGAGCTCACCTCGCAGGAGCCTCTGATTCAAGCACTCCTTCAACGAGGTCAGCAGATGATCCGCGACAATCACTTTGCCAGCGAGCAACTGCAATACAAATCGGAGTTGCTCCAAAAGCAGCTCGTTCAACTGAGGGATTTGGCTGCCATTCGACGACTTCGTCTGCTGGACGCTGTGGAGAGTCAGCTGTTTTATGTAGAAGCCAACGAAGCGGATGCCTGGATGAGGGAGAAACGTCCCGTTTTGGCCAGCAGCGATTATGGCAGAGATGAGGTCTCCGTTCAGACGCATCAGAAGAAATTGGAGGTTCTCCAGAGGGAACTCATTGCCTTTAAGCCCTCGATAGAGAAGGTGGCCAAACTGGCCAATGGATTGATTGAGCGAAATCACTTTGATAGCGCTAATATAGCCGAAAAGAATGGGCAAGTAAACCAGCAATATGAGGACCTCCTCCGCTTGGCCAAGGAGCGTGAATTGAGGCTAGGCGAGTGCAAGAAGCTCTTCGAGTATTTGCGCGAAACTGAGGAGCTGCACGAGTGGGTGGGTGACCAGATGGCCGTCACCGCTAGCGAGGATTACGGCGAGGATGTGGAGCACGTAGAACAGCTCATCTTGGCCTTTGAATCCTTTGTTTCCAACCTGAATGCCAACGAGGCGAGGGTGGAGGCCTGCCTGGAACGAGGCGATCGGCTCATCCAGGAGAACAATCCCTACAGAAGCTCCATTAAATCGAAACGAGATGAAACCAAGCAGCTGTGGGAGGAGCTCAAGGATCTGGTGCACGCTCGCCAGGATGCCTTAGCAGGAGCCAAGCAAGTCCACGTCTACGATCGCGTGGCCGATGAAACCATTCAGCTGATCAACGAAAAGGATGCCTCTCTCATCTCCGAAGATTACGGTCAGGATTTGGAGAGCATTCAAGCTCTCGGTAGGAAACATCAGGTGTTTGAATCCGAGTTAGTTGGCATCCAGGGTCAAGTGGACTCCGTGCTCGCCGAGGCCGTCAAGCTGGGCGAAATCTATCCGGATGCCAAGGAGCACATCGAAGTGAAGCGAGACGAGACAGTGGAGGCCTGGACGGATCTGAAGGAGAAGACGGCGGCGAGGAAGAACAAGCTCAGCCAGGCGGAGCAGCTGCAGTCGTACTTCGATGAGTACCGCGATCTGATTGCCTGGATCAATGAGATGCTCGCCAAGATCACTGCTCCCGAATTGGCCACCAGTGTGGCGGGAGCTGAGCTCTTATTAGCCAGCACCAAGGATCACGATACGGAGATCCGGTCGAGGGATGAAACCTTTGCCAAGTTCGCCGAAAATGGTCAGCAGCTGATCAAGGAGAAGCACTTCCTCGCGCACGAAGTGGAGGACAAGATCAAGGTCCTCCAGTCGCGTCACGAACTCCTCAAGCAAACTCTTCGCAAGCGTCGCGAGATCTACGAACTCAATTTGGACACCCAGCTGTTCCTTAAGGATGCCGAGATCCTGGAACAATGGATTAGCAGCAGGGAACCGCAACTAAAGGATGCCAAACTGGGTGACTCCATACCCCAGGTGGAGGATCTCCTGCGTCGCCACGAGGACTTTGAAAAGACAGTGGCCGCTCAAGAAGAGAAATTCCAGGCCATCAAGCGGATCACGCTGCTGGAGCAGCTCTTCCGTCACCAGCTGGAGCAGGAGAAGATCAGCAAGCAGCAGGAGAAGGAGCGTCTGGAGAAGGAGCGCCTCGAGCAGCTGAAGCAACGGGAGCTGCAGCGACTGGCAGATGAGAGGAGGCGGGCGGAGAAGCAGCACGAGCATCGCCAGAATGCCGCGTCGCAGGAGAAGACCCCGATCTTCTCCTCACCCATGGTTACGCCAGCGCAGACGAGTGGTTCCCAATCTCCTGCCTTGGGACAGGTCCAACTGAGACCTCCTTTCGGGGATGAGAACGAGCATTCAGCGCTCCAGAAGAGCAGCTCCAGTGGCATGTTCGGTGACCGCCTGCGTCGCGGATCCGCCGATGCGAATGTGAAGCGGGCGGAGAGCATGAAGGTGCAGCCCAAGCAGGCCAAGCGTACGCCATCGTTCACCACGAGGAGGAGGGCTCAGTCCTTCCGGAAGAACCAGAAGGGCGAGGGATTCGATCTGCCGCCCGTTGAGATTCAGGGAAGCTTGGAGCGCAAGCATGGCCTGCAATCGGGAGGAAAGAAAGCGCCCGTTCGTTCATGGAAGCAATTCCACACGGTGCTCTGCGGCCAGTTGGTGTGCTTCTTCAAGGACGAGAACGATTTCCTGCAACAGAAGACGGCCACCGCTCCGGTTAACATTTTGGGGGCCAAGTGCGAAAGAGCAGAGGATTATACGAAGAAGAAGTATGTCTTCCGGCTAAAACTGCCCGACGGTTCGGAATTCCTCTTCGAGGCTCCCTCGCTGGACATCCTCAACGATTGGGTGCGCAAGATATCCTTCCACGCCAGCCTGCCGCCGAACATGCAGCTCCTCAGCTACGACGAGTCCATGAAGGTAAGAAGATAGCTTATAAAATATGAAAGTTAATACGTATCACATCATAAATAATAGCAAAATAAGCATAGGTTTTAGGTATATTACGTATTATATCATTTATCTTATGATAATAAATATATATTCCATGTTATATCATATAATACATAAAAAATAAATGTACTATATCATATAATATGAAAACTAATATATTAAAATATCATTTCCCCACAGCAACAGTCGAGCAGTTCGCCGGACATCAAGGTCACGAGCAGCGTGGATTCGCCAGTCAGCTCCCGCAACTCCTCGCCCGATTCCCAGCGTCGCACCAGTGGTGGTCAGCCTCTGGATGGAACTGCCACGCCCCAAATGGCCTTCCTGCAGCGACAGATGCAACAGCAGCAGCAGCAACAACAGCAGCAGCTATCGCAGCCCAGTTCCCCTAGTTCACCCACCGCCGGATTCGATCAGAAGCCACCGATCCCGCCCAGAGGAGCACCGCCAGTGGCCAGCCATCGCCAGAGCCAGGAGAATCTAGTTGTGATGCGCAATCGCCAAAGTTCCAGTAATGGTGGGGATTATCTATAATTCATTTATAATGAAAAGGAATTAATTTATTAATTATTTTTACCCAAAAGACCTGCAACAATCCGCCACTTTGCCCGCCGGTTTGACTGGAGTCCAGCAGAATGGAAGCAGCCGGGATGACAGCGCGGTGCTGACACGCAACAGCGAGGCCAGGCAATCAGGTGAGTCCCTAGAGTCCTTGGGGTAGTATATTGATATTCCCTAGCCATTTGTGTCTCTGTCAAAAAATACATAAAACACACAAAACACCTACACATTATTCCACTCACATTGTACAAAATTGTCCTTCGAAACGATGATGTATTAGATAATCCGCCGCCATTGCCAACGACGATGCCACCGGTGGGTGGCCATCCCCATCAGCACACCCATTCCCATCAGAATGCTCAGGTTCAGCAGAGGATCAATGCCTTCAATGCGGCAGCGAGTCAGAGTCAACCGGATTTCTATAATAACAATGCGGCGAGGCAGCAGACGCAGAGGATTCCCTCGGGGAGGATCGACTCCACGAGGAAGTTCATCGAGATGGAGGCGCACAACAATAATGGAGGCACTACTACCAGCACTACTAGCAGTCCCAAGAGGATACTCAACTATTCCAGCAGCGGGGCCAGCAGCAATGGCAACGGTAATGTGAAGCTGGGAACGACCACGATCACCAGCAACTCCTCCTCAACCACCACCACCACCACAACACACCACCAAGTGACCTCCTCCTCGAGCAGTCGCACGGTGTGGCATCTAACCTCATCGCCCACCTCATCGACCAAATCATCATCAACCGGGGGCTCCGGGGAGCCTAGCCATGCCATCAGTAATCCAAGCTATATGGGTCTGCATCTGAATAACAATAACGATACAATCGGAATTGGACTCGGTGGTTAGACGAACCTCATTAATCCTAACAAATTGTATATTATTCGATTCTTAGTTTTAAGTGCTTGCTAAGGTTACGGCTGTTCTGATATTTATTTCTCTCTCTTGATCTGGAATGCATGCCTTTTTGTGGAATAGGTTCCTCTACTGTTTTTAAGCCGGTGAAGATTACCCGCCGATCCTATCTGCGCACGAGTTTGCAAAGTATTTCAATGGGTTTTATGTTAAAATATGTTCATTTTCTCTAAAAGAAATTATTTTAACTCGAAACAAAGTTTTAAGATATAGTTTTCAGCCTAAATGGTACTATTTTCAAGATCTTTAAATAGCTTTTAATCATTTCTATTTCTAACTTTATTTAAAAAGAAATTGTTTCGAGTTAAAAAATGTCTATAAAATATTTAGATCTAAGTGCTCTGCCTTTTTTTAATTTCATACTTAAACTTGTAATGTATAATATTATATCTGTATAGTATTTAAGCTAGTTTAGTATCATTTTGCCTGTCCACCCTTTTGAATCTCACTCTATGTTATGCTACACTCCTTACACTCTTCATTTGCATGATTCTCGTTACATTTTTGAAGATTTCCAATTACTCACACTTTTCTTATATCCCACCAGGTTGGGGAAACACCCGCTTCGAGAGCAACCGACCTGTGTCCCTGCAGCCCGACTCCATCAGCTTCTCACGCGTTTCCGCGGAGAGTTCCAGCGAAAGCGAGGCCCAGTCCATCTCCTCCGTGTCCGGGGTGAAGGGCAGCAGCAGCAAGGGAACCAAGGAGGAGCGCCGCAGCGGCATGTTCCGCATCTTCGGACGCAAGGGCGACAAGGAGAAGGAGAAGGACAAGGACAAGCGCCGGTCGAGTCAAGTCCCGCCACAGTGAAAACATATTCAACTCTAAGCCACCGTTATAACTATCAGTTCAACCAGGCCGAATTGTTTTTGTATTTTTTATATACACCATAATTATTTAATTTGTATTCGCCATGGGCAAACAAATTTCAAAAAGCAAACAAAAAACCAACCACTAAACGAAACAAGAAATGAAAAAGTTGAAAAATCTAAAGTGTCTACTTAAAGCTAAAGCGACAAATGAAAGTATAAAAGAAATATTATATATATATATAAAGTCAATGTTTTAATTGCATTATAAAATGTATTTGTAAGTTTGTTCGTTGTATGATTAAATTTAATTTTCGTAAAACAAAAAACCTTAAACAATAAATACTATACATATTGTGAAAACAATCTTACACCCCGATTTTAATTTAGCGAAATATTCCTGAAAATTGGTCAAACATTTACTCTCCAAACCCAGCCTAAATAGTGATTGGATTCAATAAATTAGTTAGCTGTTAGCTGTTCAAAAGAGTAAATATTTTTTACCTAGGACAATTTTATTCCAAACTACGTCAAAATCAACACTACAAAAAAAGGTTACTTCTTGCCAAAGCGCACATCTTGATTTTCCACAAAAAACTCCGTTTTTTAGCCGAAACAATGGAAATAATTATCTAAATATGGAGTGTCGTACATCGTTAAGCTCGTATTTTAATTCCTAATAGGTTGGCGTTTAAATCTGGACATTTTATTTTTTGTCAATTTTTTTGCAAAAAATAGTGATGTAACCCCTTATCAAATATGTGAAAATGGGCCAAAAATTAATTTTCCAAATTCAGCATAAATATTGATTGGAATCAATAAACTACTTTGTTTGCCTTTTTAAAACAGTAAATATTTTTGATTTAGGACAATTTTTAACCAAACTACGGCAAAAAAACTCAAAAAAGAACATACTTCTTCCAAAAGCGCAGATCCTGGTATTCTGGAAAAAAAATCTGTATTTAGGCCAAAACAAAGTAAATTATGATTATGAATTACCTTTTTTTTTATTGTTTATGAATTTATTTGCCTACGACAATTGGTGCATAAACATAAGCAGATGTGGCTGATAAGGCAAGAACGGATATTTATTTTTCTTGATTCAGCTGTAGCTGAATAAATATTATTAGTTCATTTGAAAAAAACGGACAAAACAATTAAATAAATATTAAAATGTTTTTAATCTAGTTCGTGTGTACTTGGAATATTCGCAATATATTAGCTTTCAATTTGTAGGTTCTTATCTGTTTTTTGCTTCTTTTGCTTTCACTTGGGTTTTTTTCATACAATTAAAGATTAACCAGGGATTTTCACATGCAATTACGAATGCGCCTCCGACCTTTTGTATTCTTATCATGTGCAGTACGACACATTATAATATTCGTAACAGGTGGGGCAACTTGATTCTCATGAAGTCTAGAGCAACCGACCACAACAAGATAAAGGGTATTTCTCTTTCTTAGTCATAAAATAAAAACAATTAATTTACTTAGGTTATTTTAAATATAAATGTGAGCTATATTTGTCAATTTACTAAGTTCATCTGCTTCAATCCAGAATCCTGACCTACACAATCTAGTTCTAGCCTCTGTGGGTCATTGTGATTTCACGGGGATTTTTTTTTAAAGATTTTTTCAATTAATCAGCGCCTGTGACTCTTTGTACTCGCATTGTTATGCTTTCCTCGTCATTTATTTAGTCTGGGTTTAACCCAAGTCCCTGGCGAATTATTTCTTTCTCATCTGGGGCAGTCCAGTTAAATTTGGTATTCTATAGGGCGCATCTTAAAAGTTTTGTTTTTCAAATGATGATGAGGCCTTAAGCAATAAATCTTGTTAAAGTACGGAAATGTTTGAAAGTGCTATCTTTATCAGGTGGTTTCCCTAAGGAACGCTTTCCTAAGTGAGTGCACATGTATCATCATCACTTGTTGATCTATTTCGTTTGCACCCGACTACGCTTCGGGTAAAGCAAACCGATCGGCGCAGAGATCGGTGCACTATATAAGCTCCCCGGCGATTCTTTCAAACCATCAGTCGCTGATAATTCAACAAGAAATCAACCAAAAAGCTCTCTGAGAACTTTTCCAATATGATGCAGATCAAGTACTTGTTCGCCCTCTTCGCTGTCCTGATGCTGGTCGTCCTGGGAGCCCAAAATGCCGATGCCGACTGTCTGTCCGGAAGATACAAGGGTCCCTGTGCCGTCTGGGACAACGAGACCTGCCGTCGTGTGTGCAAGGAGGAAGGACGAGTCAGTGGACACTGCAGCCCCAGTCTGAAGTGCTGGTGCGAAGGATGTTGAGAACATCATGCCTTTTAAATATTTCTTAAAATTCTGATCAGAATATACTTATATGCTTCAATTATGAACATCGAATAAATAAAAATGTACATTTATAAACAAGATTTTTCTCTTAGAATACCATTTTTATTATAATCCATTTCTTTGGTGCAGAAGCAGAGACCATGTCGTCTGTCCGTTTCTATGCGAACTAGTCCCTCAGTTTTAAAGCTATCGCGATGAAACTTTCCCAAAAGTCTTCTTTCTATTGCAGGTAGTACTTATGTCGGAACGAGCCGGATCGGACCACTATATCTTATGGCTCCCATAGGAATAGTCAAAAAAATAATAGAAAAACTATTGTAACTTTGTAGAAAGTATACGCCTATAGGCGTTTTGATTTTTGACAATGTAAAGAACAACATTTTAAGTAGGCATACCTGCAAGGGTATATAAACTTCGGCTGGCCGAAGTTAACTTCCTTTCTTGTTTACTCTTGTATTAAGCAATATTCAAATTACTTAGTTAAGTAGGTACATTGTTTGAGTTTCTGTCCTAATTAGGTACAGCGATAACTTTAATTAGAAATGCATTGCCCCCAGAAATTCCTCAAAGACAAATGGCCTTTTTTTGTAACAAATTAAAAATACAACTATTTGTTAACAATAATATAAACCTTACTCTATTAGCTGGAAATTACTTGGGAAATATGTCCCGGACCTACATTGGCCATATGTTGTTGTCGAGGTTAAATTACATTTTCTATTTACTTATTTTACAAAAAAAATTTACTAAATATTTACACGGATAAGGAAAAGTCATTAGGCAAATCAAGTTCAAGTAAAAGGCGCTCATTGATCATCAATGGAAAGGTATCACCTGCCGGGAACTCAAATATGCAAAGTTAGGAGTCATTAGAAGATTTGGAAAATAAATAATAATACAAGTGGTAAATACTACGGAAAGTAGTAAAAAGTTATCTTTTTTAGCAAGACGGCATGTAAGTGATCCTAAACCTTTTGAAAAACGTGAGTTTTATGATCACACCCCAATTAAGAACAAAGGGTTATTATCTTTTTAATCAGCTGGGTTCTTTATTTGGCTTCAGTCTTTCCACGAGTCTCTCTCTAACTTTCTTCCTTGGTTGCAAAGTGTTCTCAACTCCATCCTGTGTCTTCTGGCCTTCAGATCCTGCAAAGAAACAGAGCAAACTCCCTAGGTCTGTCCGGGAATGTGTGTGTGTTGAGTGTTTGTCGGCGGTCTGAGCTCCGGTAAAGCGTGAAAATGTGGCAGTCGATGGGGGGATATGGTGACCATCTAGTGGTTGAAAACAGTTCGGATTGCTACGGTTCGGAATTTCTATGGGGCCAAAGGGACCCGGAGCGTGGGAACTCCGGGCCAAAATGTAGGCGGATGTGTGTCTGTTTCTGGGATAAAATATATATATATATGGTCTTCTGTCGGCAAGACATGTAAAAGTGTTAAAAATGATTGCATTAGTTTTATACTACGTATAAGGAAGCTGGGATCGTATCGAAACGATTGGATCCTCGTCTTTGAAGTTAGGTAGCAGTGATTATATATAATTATAATCCCCATTTCGGAGCTGGGCTCCAAAGTCTTTGAAAGTCTTTGCTTGATTTTCAGCTTGCTTTTGTTGTGTCCAACTCTCGCTTTTTTTGGGAACTTTAAGGTTTTGGTGGGTGGGTAATATGGAGAATATATGGGGATTTTTGTGGGGTTTGGCACACACGATACACACATCACTGTTTGATCACTGCTTAAGTTCGTTCTTGGGTATTGTTGTTGGTTGTGGTTGTTGTTGTTGGGCGTCTCTTTAAAGTCTCTTTCTCTCGCTCTCTTTTTGGTTTCGGTTTCGGGTAAATAAAGTTCACATTTTCTCTCTTTCATTTTGTATTTTTTTTGTGTTTTAAAATATTTAATTAGCATTAAGATCTCTGCTTGTTTTGAAATTTGCTTAGGTCGTAAGTTTGTTTTTCTTTTAATCTTAGTGTGGGTGGTGGGGGGGTGTTGTTTTGGAGAGAGAAAGGGGAAAAGAGAGTTGTATCGACTTTAGACGATAGCCGGTTTTTCATCATTTATCATATCATAACTTTTCGCTTATACCGTAATTTGAATTTTCACACGCGAGCGGGGATTAGGATTACACTTTCCGATTCTAACGCCTGTTGTCCCGATAGCTTCGCTGGCCACCGCCGCCGCCACGCTCGCGAAACGGTCGCGAATCCCGCGAAGATCCGCCGCCGCCGCCGCCGCCGCTGCGATTTCCGTACTCCCGCCGACGTGGGCCCGCGGAGCCGTTGTTGCCGTCGCGATTCCGATAGCCACCGGGTCCACCACCGCCCATTCCGCCGCCGCCTGATCCTCCGCCGCCGCCTCCGCCTCCTCCCATGCCTCCGCCGGCCGCCGCCTGAGCAGCAGCCGCTCCACCAGCTCCGCCATTGCTACCGCCATTGGCCGCTCCGCCGTAGACGGGAAAGCCCGGCGGTGGCACTGTGGGCAGGCCAGCGTTCTTCCAGGCGGCGAACTCCTCGTAGCTCGGCGCCTTGTCGAAGCCCGGCGGCGGTGGCCTCTGCGGCGGCGGATAATCCGGCAGGGGAGGTGCACCCGGTCCATCGTAGTAGCGCACCGGTGGCGGCAGCTGCTCGTACATGGCCGCCGCTCCCGGTGGCAGGGCACCGGCTGCTCCGCCCGCGGCTCCTGGCATCGGCAGCTGGGCGAAGGGAGGAACGAAGGGCAACGGCGGCAGTTGGCCGTGCATGTTGCGCATATAGTCGGCCACGTAGGCTTCGGCAGCTGCTGCGGAGGACATGTAGCGCTCCCACGCGGGCATGGTCATGTCGCCGGGTCCACCGGGTGGTGCTCCTGCTCCACCGCCCATCTGGCGGTAGGGAGAACCGCTCCGCTTGAAGCCGCCGCCCGGTGGAAGACCCATGCCATGATGATGACGGTACGGCCGGTGGTGCGGTGGTCCGTGGTAGCTCCTCTTGTGACGCATCGGACCCAGATGGTCCCTGCCTCCGCCACGTCCTCCTCCGCCGCCGCCACCGCCGTGTCCGCGGGAGGAGAGACTCCTGGGCGGCTTGTAGATCACGTGGATGCCCTTTTCCCGCATCACCCGGGCCGTCTCCTTGGATTTCTTGAGTATGGGCGTCAGTTCGATTTGCTCGTCCTCCGGGAAGAGACGACACAGCTCGGCGCCGATCTTGGGCTCAATCTCCTGGCCGTCGCGACCGATCTTCACCGGCTTGCCCTCGTTCCAGGTGTTGTGCAGATGCAGGGTGGCGTTGAAGGACAGCTCCTTGCGGCAGATCCAGTCCAGTTCGATGACGCCGCCCAGCGCCTTGGGCGAAATACTTGGCGGCAGCACCCAGGCCACCTGGGGAATGTCCCGCCGGGAGGGCGCCGCCATCCGGGCGAAGCCTGCAAATTTACCTGAAGGGGGAGACCAAGATTATTGTGATTGTGATGAAATTAAGTGAAGGTTTTGATCTCTAAAATTATGAATAAAATAAAGAGAACACTTTGTAATCTAATAAAAAAATGATTTAAGATCAAGGGACAATATCATTATTGAATATGAAACATATTTTAAGTTGATTTTTTAAGTTTCAAGTACATATTCTATTAAATAAATAAAAAAGTTTTAAACAATGTACTTTTTGAAACAATTTCCAAGAAAATAAACAATATAAGCAAACATTATTGAATAGGAAACATATATTAAGTTTATTTTGAAAGTTTTAAGTACATATTCTTTTAAATAAATAGAAAAGTATTAGAACAATGTACTTTTTTGAGTAATTTCCAAGGAATTAAACAATATAAGCAAACATTATTGAATATGAAAAATATTTTAATGGATTTTTTCAGATTTAAGTACATATTCGATAAAATAAATAGAAAAGTTCTAGAACAATGTACTTTCTTGAGAAATTTCCAAGGAAATAAAAAGATATCCTCACCGACAAAGCTCCCTTTCACCCCTGAACTAATACCAACTGGAACCTACCACTCTCGTTCACCGAGAAGATGAGCAGCACATTTCGGGCCTCCTTGAAGGCCTGGTTAAGATTGGCGTCGTTCTGCGGCAGCGTGGCCCACACGCTCTTGCTTTTCGAGAGCTGAACGTTGTCGCTGTTGTTCGACTTGATGAGGAAGAAGCGCGTGTCCCGGAACAGGTAGTTCAGCTTGGTCATGTAGTCGTAGCCCTTTTGAGCGTGTGACTGCGAACCGCCGCCCACGGAATCCTTTTCGGGCGTGGAGCTCTTGGAATTGGGTTTACCGCGGGCATTGCCGCCGCCATTGCCTCCGTTTCGCTTGTGCTGGGTGCCCGAATCCGAGTCGGAGGACTCGCTATCGGACTCTAGCGTTGGAAGAGCTGGTTTCTCATCCTCCGCCTCGCTGGCATCGCTTTTGTGGGCCCCAGAATCGTTGATACTGGAAGGTTTCTTGCTCCGCGACTTCTTGGCCGGCGGCTGGCGTTCCTCGGCTGGCGGGGATTTGGATTTGACCTTCTCCGAGGGCTCCGAGGAAGCCGTTTTCTTGGGCTTCTTTTTCTTATTGCCACCATTCAGCTCCTCGGGCGTGGGCTCCCGTTTGCTGGCTTTGTTCTTGGAGGAGGAGGATGTGGACTTGGAGGTTTTGGGCACCTCCACCTGAGGGCTCTCCTTGGCCAGCTTCTTGGTCTTCCGCTTGCTGCCGCTGCCCACCAGCGAGGATGTGGCCGTGCTCACCGAACTGATGCTGGGCTCCGAGTCCGTGGAGTCGCCCCCGTTCGACTCGGAGGCCTCGCTCCGCGTGTTGAACTCAAAGTCCTGCAGCTCCTCGGCAATGTCCGCCTCGTTCTCGTCCAGTCCCAGGTGCACTGCATCCAAGTCCGCCATCTCGCGCATCGGCAGCGTTTGTTTACCTGCTCCCCAATCGATAGGCGGCATCGGCATCGGAAATCGAATGCATATGAATGAAGGAGCACCCACGCACACACACAGAGACACGGACCAAGAAAAATATAGAGAAAAAACGCCGATCGATCGGCAAGTTAGCAAATGATTGTTAAAATCGCGGTAAATCCACACTCACTGGCTGCTCTTGGCATTAATTGGGTGGACACCGGTTTAGCGCCACTTCTTATCCTGTTTTCACCGCAGCAAATCCCCTTTAGAACGCGAAATTATACAAATTTTACAAGGTTTCACACAAAATCTGCGTCACAGCGGCGACGAATTGGCGATGGCGTCAGAAGAGTGCGACTATATGTTCTGCAAGCGGCGGCTTTCGCGGTGACTATCGATAGGCGGGTGCATAGTGGAACTATACAAGGTGGTCTCGTCAGCTCTGCTGAGGACGTTAAATATGTTTACCTCTCTGTCTCTCTTAGGCGATAGAATGAGATAGCTAGATAGAGAGTGACACAAATAACGTCCTCAAAAGAGGGCAGCTCTCGCGATGAGACCACCTTGTATAGTTCCACCATGGGCGGGTGCAGATGCAGATTGCAACAAACCGAATAGCTAGAAATAGCTAGTTTTTAATAGCTAATTACTAAAGGAATATATATATATACTAGCAATACCCGAACCGACATTGTCCGCTACTATTAGCAAAGCATTTATTGCTGATTTTTTTGTATATTCAAATCCAAATTAATATCAGAGTAAAATCCCGCGTAACCTTAGCTAAACAGTAAACCCACCTACAACGCACTAATATTCTAATCCTTCTAACCATAACATACCTTACCTTAACACCGCATTAACTCTAATATTACCTCACATTAACCCCACCTATTTTATTCTAACTCTTGGCACACTTTTTAGCACCTTAATGCTGTTTTCACTATTTCCTAGTCTTAACCCACCTTAGCACCAGTTTTTCCTCTTCTTAGCCAACCTAACTTTAGTCTCACCTGAAAACAAATTTTCCTTACTATACTTACTTTAACTTCACTTTTTCTTAGTAAAACTTGTTTGTCACCTTGACCTTATCCTCACTAAAGTACAAACGAACTTTATCTTTCTCACCTTCACCCTTCCCTTACAGTTCTTTTACCCTAATCTATCCAATACCTCCTTAATCGCAACTTAATTTTATAGATTTGGTTAGCTAAGCGAATGCAGAGAAAAACTTTTACTCTTTTTTACCGTTTATTTTGAACAGATCTAACCCCCAAAAACCTTTAAAACATAAAAAAGAATATATAAGAAATAACACACAAATACCTATGAAAGGCTACGGCCAAAATGCTTTAAGCGAAAAACGGATCCGCTCGCAGGATCGGTAGGTAAACAAAAAAAGAAGTGCCCCAATGTCGGCTGGAGATCAACAGCTGGAGTTAAATATTTCGGGAAATGAGGAAAATTAAAAAAAGCACCTAAAGCTCCAACTCTTTTGGGTGAAAACAGTAGGTGTAATTTTGGAGACGAAATTTGCCAGCAATTTTCGTCGTGCGCTCTCGTCTTTACCATAATTTAAATTTTTGCAAAATATTTGATTTAGAATGGCTGCATTGGGTGATCCGTTATTTTGTCCTAATTTAATCATTCGATGTGTGTGTGTGTCATTGCGTTTCTCACATGCAAATGTGACGACTGAAAGTTTTTCCCTGCTCTCCCCTTGAAAGCCAATCCAAAATGTTTTTAAAATCAAAACCAAAATTCCTTATGAATTTAATGGGTTGGCTACACACTTTGACTTAGAATTGCATCCATTAGATAATCCGTTCTGGTATCCAAATAGAAAAATTTTATCAGGTGTTTCTAAGCCAGAAACAAAACATTGGCGGCGTCTCTTTCGCTTCAAATGACTCTCTCTCTCTGCTCACTACTCTCTCGCTCTGCTTTTGCTGACGTTCGTGAGTGCTGCGAAAAACAAAAACAACGTGCTGCCAAAGAGGCCCCCCCCGCAGCCCAGGCAAACAAAAAGGATCATATAAAATCAACCGTGGGTCCAAAAACGAAAAAAAAAAATACCTTACTAATTGTATGGCATAGCTCCGCACTTTAAAACAAAAACGGATGCGATCGCATAATCGGTGCGGAAAAATTAATTAAGTGCCCCAACCGGAAGTCGGTGGGGGCTCATCTTCTGGGCTTTCAAAGATTTCCACAAACAAAGCTTAAAAAAAATATCAACTTGTTTGGTTAAAAACTGTGGGAATGGTTGATGTTTTAATCAACCAATTTTGCATTTTTCGAGAGTCCTGGGAGTCCTTAGGAGCCGAATTTTAAAAAATCCTTTCTTAGTGCACACCTCCTCTAACACACGATTCAGACCCAATTTTTTCCAGAATTTTAGGTCTTATGGTTTGGGCTGGGGGAACATGACGCAAATCGACATCTACTCTTTTATAGTAATACTCGATTTAAATTATTTAAAAAGAATAACAGGAAATATTATTAAAATTTTAATAAAAGTGGAAATATAATCAGCAATTTATTTTTAATTTATTTGTTTGTCTAAAATCACAATTTCTAGGAACTTGTACTAAAGTGTAATATTCTCCTTTTAACCAGAGAAGACTATTATATATATTTATTTTTTGTTTAAATTTTAATTCATTTTTAAATTATATTCGCTATCATTAAAAATAGCCAGATTTAGCTATGAAATAGGCGACTTCCCAGCCCTGCTGTTATCGATATGTTATCGTTGCAGTCGAAACGAGGTAAACAAAATGCACCACAACCACTTGGATTTTCCGGCTTTTCCGCTTTCCCTGCTGGACGACAGCGATCTGGAGCCGCAGAGATGCTATGTTCCGGCGGCAGAGGATCCTCTGGGGACGGGATGGTGTCGCTGCCACCTTTCCGATGGCAGCTACGCAGTTTGTTGGGTTACTCCGCGTGCCGGTAGTGAAACTTGTTGCTTCTTGGACGGAATGGTCACCTCCTCCTCGCAATTCTCACCCACCAATCAGCATTTGGTGCTCCTAGAGCCACTGAAACTGGTTTCCTGCCCAGCTAAGATTCCCTGCATTGTCACAGTCACCCAGGAACTGCTCCAATGCGCTCAGGTTTCTCTGGAGGATCTGAAGGACGATGTGAGGGTGTTCCTGCGCCACCTGAAGCTAACCAAGGGGTGCTCCGTGCAGCACAGACGCCTGGCCCAACTGGGCATCGCCAGTGTGGAGGTGATCGATGCTCCAGGAGTTGCCGCTGACGAGTGTTTTGAATTCTGCCGAGATGCTGAGCTCCTCCTGGTGGACACCCGACTGGGAATGCCCTATCCTTTGGCGTCCACCTCTAAGTACCTGCCTCACAGCTTCGAGCAGCCCATGGAGGACTTGGAGCAGCTGTTGGAAACCTCTAAAAGCGGTTTCTCGCATAGATTTCCTACTACATCATTGATTGTTGGACCTGTGGGCTGTGGAAAGAGTCGCCTCCTTGGGGAGTTTCTGCGGCGCCTCAGCTGCAACTGTTTCTACATCACAGCCAGCCAGGTGCTGCGTTCCTATCCAGGAGAAACGGAAGAGGAGTTGAGAAGGATCTTCCAGGCGGCTGAGACTTTCAAGGAGCAGCTGCAACCTTTGTGTAAAATTTTATGATTTCTAAACATTTTTTCAAATTACTGATATTTTTATCCCCTTTCAGTGCCCATTGTGATACTCATCGAGGATCTGGAGTTGCTTTGCCCCTCTTCGAGTGTCGCAGATGCCAAAAACTCCAGCAATTCCCTGCGCATCTCAGCGCAGCTCTACAAACTGATTGATGCACTGCCTCAGGGCGTTATTTGTATAGCCACTTCGGGATCCCCGGACTCCCTGCATGAACACGCTCGCAGGCGATTTGTAAGAGAGGTTTCTATACAAATGCCCTCGGAGGAGCAACGCAAACGACTCGTGGAGGATCTGTGCGAGGCTCATGAGCTGCAACTCACGGAAACTTTACTTGATCACATAGCCAGAAACACGCAGGGTTTTGTGATGGCGGATTTAACACTCCTCATGCGTCGCGTGCAACAGGAATTGCTTACAAAAGATGACGGCAATGTGGAGCAAATCTTCCGCCAATCGCTGCTCCAAACTCAACCGAGTGCCTCGCGATCCACGGATGTGAGGGTTTCAAAAATGACTACTGGTTTCGAGGTTATCGGCGGAATGGAATCCCTCAAACGCACTTTGCAAGTCACCGTTTTAGCTGGTCTGCGGCAGAGTGCCGCCTTTGCCCGATTCGGCTTGAGTCTGCCCAAGGGAGTGCTGCTCTATGGACCGCCAGGATGTGCCAAGACCACCGTGGCCAAGTGCCTGGCCAAAGAGGCGAACATGACCTTCATTGCCACCTCGGCGGCGGAGGTTTACTCGCCCTACGTCGGTTGCGCCGAGAAGTTCATTTCGCGGATCTTCGATACAGCAAGGAAAAATGCTCCATGTCTTATATTTCTAGATGAGATAGGTAAGTCATAAGGGATTCCTCAAAAATAATTATTAACCTCTCTTATTTCACAGATTCCCTTGTTGGCAGAAGAACTGTTTCAAGTGGCGGCGGTGGTGGTCAAGTTCAGCTGAGGATTCTCTCCACGCTGCTCACCGAAATGGATGGCATTGTGGGCGGTGGCAGCCAGCAGCATATTCTCGTGGTGGCGGCCACCAATCGTCCGGAAATGATTGATGACGCCTTGATGAGACCTGGGCGCTTCGACAAGCTCATCCATGTTCCAGCACCGGATGAGGATTCTCGTCTAGCGCTGCTGAAACTCCATGCCCAACGAATGCCTTTTCATGAGAATGTGGTTCTGGAGGAGATTGCCTCTCTCACCGATCGCTATTCTGGGGCCGATCTCTGTAATCTCTGCAACGAGGCGGCCATCGAGGCTTTTCAGCGTGACTTTGAGGCCACTGAAATCGAGCTTCAGGACTTTGTAAAGGTCCTAGCCAAGCAGAAATCCTCGCTAACCCAAAGCCAAATAGATGGGTACTATAAGTTTGCTTATAGGTTTCTGTAAAACAAGGTTTTTCAGGTAGAGTTAAAGTAATTACAGGTAATTTTGTTACTTTTGCTAAAATAAAATTTGTTTTTTTAAATGTTAAAACTCTAAAGAGTTTATAATTAACGGTTAAACCTCTTTGCATTAGTCTATTTATTTCCATAAAACTTGGGTTTTCAGGTAGAGTTAAAGTAATTACAGGTAATTTTGTTACTTTTGCTAAAATAAATTTGTTTTTCAAATGTTAAAACTCTAAAGAGTTTTTAGTTAACTATTAAACTTCTTTGCATTATTCCATTTAATCTTAAAACAAATTTTATAATTCCTAATTGAAGTTTAAATTTTAAACTTGAAGAGATACATTCGCGCCCACCTGTAATAATCGATAGCAGTCATCGCGCTCAGCTGTTGCAACGATAACCCGCTGCAGCAGCAAAACAAAGGAAAAAAAGTTAACACAATTAAACATAGTAAATTATCTTTAATAACAAAGTGAGTCACGGGAAAAAAAGCTTTCCGGCCAGAATGGCAGATACCCGCAAAGACGCTGCACCGCCGAGCTACGACGAAGTCATGAACAGTCCCTCCCAGGGTAAATAATTAAAGACTCCCAAAAAACACCTTATTAATCCACGATTTATTGCAGATTCCCGGTTGATAGTGGGCGTCCACCAGGGAGCACCCAGTGCCCCGCCCCCCAACATGCACGCCCCATCCTATGGAGCTTTCGAGACGACGCCGGTCAACGTGGTGATTCAACCCACTCCGGTGGCCATGCCCACGGAGATCATCGTGATCGGCGGATGTCCAGCCTGTCGCATTGGCTACCTGGAGGACACCTTCTCCTGCTGCGGCCTGTGCTGCGCCATCTTCTTCTTCCCCCTGGGAATCCTCTGCTGCCTGGCCATGAAGGAGAAGCGCTGCACCAACTGTGGAACGGTTTTTTAGAGGGGATTCCCTTGGTCTTCTACAGGGAATTCCCCTTAAAAATCACCTACAAATACACCTCCCCTTTCTTTCCTTTCGGGATTTCGGCACCAGTGACTATTCCTTGTTATGACTGTTTTTTCCCAGATATCACAAAGCTCCAATACTTTTATTATTGTTAATCGTTAGCTCACAATTCATTAAATATTATGTGTAAATATTATTCATGGCTGTTTGCGGTGTGCCCCCGATTTCCAGTCACTGTCCGGCGATTGCTTATAAAGAGAATGGTCATGTACAGTGGAATGTGCCTAACTCGAACCCAAAAATGTAATATTATAACATAAAAAATATTATTGTAAAATACAACATTTTTTTTAGAGAAAAGAAAGAAGATTTTAATTATCATAAGTTCTAAATTCCAATCTGAAAAGGAAGAATTTTATTTAATAAGCAAATGTATTCCAATGCTAAATAAAAATGATGAGTAAAAATATATGGGACTCATAGAATTCTATTATTTTGGTGAGTATGAAAGGAAAGTTTAGAAGAGTTAGGTTTAAGTCATAGATGATTAGCCCATAAAAGTTTTGGTTATAGAACTTTGACTGTATCTATATATTGTGCATTGTAAGCGTCGTCGAGGCGCGCTTCCGTTAAATTCAATTGAAATATAATGGGGGCGGTTTTGAATTACGCCGCCCGTCCGTATTCTCTATACTCTTTGCACTTTGCCGCGTAAAACTGTAAACAAGTGTAGTGCTTTATAAGGCGATCGGAACCGGAACGACCCAGATATACCCTAAAAACAAATAATTAATATTAATAAAAACAATCAATAAAATAAAAAAAATACTATAGGTTCTTTTTAAAATGCACTTTGAATTCGTATTAGTTACCACCAGCAGAACTGTAATAATTTGATCTAGAAGGTGTGATTATATATATTCCTATCAATATTTTGTAATATAAATTCTAAATTTAATTATTACATTTTAATATTTTTTTTGTTTTTTAATAATTTTAAACGGGGCATACCCATCTATCAGATTTCATGGGCAACAGGGTATCACAACAAATTCGCCGGCATCCACATCCGCCGTCTCGGCATCTTCGAGTCAACAGTCGTGAATTTCCTTTGCCGTGAACATGACCAGTGCTCGTCTCCTGTTCCCGCTGTTGATTCCCGTGCTGCTAGACGCAGTTGCTCCTCCGCCAGCCAGAAGACCCAATGTGGTGATGGTGATCTTCGATGATTTGCGTCCCGTGATTGGTGCATATGGTGATCCACTGGCCAGCACTCCTTATCTAGATGATTTTGCCAAGGGAAGTCATGTCTTCACAAGGACTTATAGTCAGGTGAGAATTGTTAGGGGGATATTATAAGAAAATAATAAATTATTATGATTAATCTGTACTTTATTAACAATACAAGTTTATCTGTACAGTAAATGTGGCATCAAAAAAACTTCTTTACTAATAAAATTGACAACTTAAAAAACGGCAGGTTAAAGCGTAAGCAAAATCGGTCAGACATAAAAATCTAAAAAAAAATCTACAATTATAAACAAATAGAATTGAGAAGAAATAAAATCGTGCTTTAATATTTATCCTTTTTTTATAGCAATCTCTGTGTGCCCCCAGTAGGAATTCCCTGCTCACAGGTCGAAGACCGGATACTTTGCATCTGTACGATTTCTACAGTTACTGGCGCACTTTCACCGGAAACTTCACCACTTTGCCGCAGTACTTCAAGGAGCATGGATACTACACCTACAGCTGTGGCAAGGTCTTCCACCCGGGCCTCTCCTCCAACAACACGGATGATTATCCTTTGAGTTGGTCAGCTCCAGCATTTCGTCCGCGAACAGAGCAGTTTATGAATTCACCAGTTTGCCCGGATAAGGAAGGAATTCTCCGGAAGAATCTCATCTGTCCGGTGGAACTGCAAACGCAGCCGTACAAGACTCTACCGGATATTGAATCCGTTTCCGAGGCTTTGCGCTTTGTGGAATCGCGGAGGAACCAAAATAGAGAGCCATACTTTCTGGCTATGGGTTTCCACAAGCCGCACATTAATTTTCGGTTTCCACGGCAATTTCTTTCGAGATTTAAACTCTCCCAGTTCTACAATTACACGGAGGACAGTCTGAAACCGCCGGATATGCCGGCAGTGGCCTGGAATCCCTACACGGATGTCAGGGCCCGAGATGACTTCAAGCACTCGAATATATCCTTTCCCTATGGACCGATTTCCCCGCATCAGGCTGCTCAGATACGACAGGGTTACTATGCCTCGGTGGCCTATGTGGATGATCTGTTTGGCAAGTTGATCGCAGGATTGGATCTGGATAAAACGGTGGTGGTGGTGCTGGGCGATCATGGTTGGTCCCTGGGCGAACATGCTGAGTGGGCTAAATACAGCAACTTCGAGGTGGCTCTCAGGGTTCCTTTAATGATAAGAACTCCCCAGTTCCCTCTCACCCAGACGAAGTACTATCATGGTATCACAGAACTGCTGGATGTATTCCCCACTCTTGTGGATCTGGCGGGTTTACCCAAGTTACCTGTTTGCCAGGATTCCCAAGAGTTGACCTGCGGCGAGGGCAAGAGTCTTTATTTCCAGCTAATGGGTTTGGGTAGGGGTAAGTCTGTTTTTATTATTTTAAAGAATTCATTTATAATTAATATATTATTCCCTTTTAGCTGATGAGCATGTGGCCCTCAGTCAGTATCCCCGACCAGGAATGCTGCCCACTAAGCATCCGAATAGCGACAAACCCAAGCTAAGGAATATCAAAATCATGGGCTATAGCCTGAGAACCGATATCTATAGGTATACGCTGTGGGTGAGATTTCATGCCCAGAACTTTAGCAGAGGTGAGTTAGAGATTAATTGAATATTGAAGAATATTTATTGTTAGAAATAAAAAAGAGTCTGATTTTATTTAAGTAAGTTGACATGATAACTTAAAAATGTTCATAAATATGTTTACAATTAACAAAACTTTTAAAGCCAACTTACGAACTTAAAATACTTTGAGGCTTAAATAAACAAAAACCAAAAAAAAAATTTTTTTTTACAAAAATAATGTTATTTAAAAAGTAGTATTTATTTGTTTGTTTATTCAGTTTTTTCTTACTTAATTAATTTACCAATTTTTTTTTTCAGACTGGCACGACGTGTATGGCGAGGAGTTGTACGATCATCGGCTGGATTCTGGAGAGGAGTTGAACCTGGTGCCCCTGCCCGAATTTGATGATGTCCGCCAGCGACTGCGCCGGCGTTTAATGGAAGTCGTGGGCAGCTAGTGGAGATCCGAGATCGGTGATCGGAGATCCTTCATTTCCCCTTTTGGAATCCCTCTGATTTTGAATAAATTCATAAGCAATAAAGGCAGCGCGACAAACGATCTCGAGACGGGACGGCGAAATATCTTGTCGCCATAATTGGAATTTAATACTTCCGGTTGGGCAACAACGTTTGCGAGACGCCCAGACATGCTGCATATTTTTCGCTGTAATTTCTGCGATGCCCCCGTCTTGGAGACCGCCTCCCCCCTGACTCCCCGATCCAAGCAACCCATGCACAATATACAATCCGATCCACTCCGATCCGCGCATGCGTGACTGGTGTCCATTGCTTTTTTGGCTTCGTTTTTGTGAATTTTTGTGAATGAAATTTCATTCAACGTTGGCGGCGCGCGTCTCGCTGCGTTGGCGTCGGCAGCGACGTCGCCGCCCAAATCGAGAGAGGATGGGGAGAGGAGAGGAGAGTGGGGCTAAGGGGGAGGGGGGCTGGAGCTACGTTGGCGACTCTTTTCGAGCTTTCATTTTCGCTTCGGTTTGTTGCCAGGCGAGTGAAAATCAAAGCACAGAGAGAAATTTGTATGGATAGTTAGGTGACATTTAATATAAATATTATTATTAAATATTTATTAAAAATTATTCGAAAATTAAGTATCCGTTATATTTGCATTTCAAGAAGAATTAAACAAAATAAATTTATTTTTTGAGTAACAACTATTGATTTTAAATATTTTTGTATTGAAATAAAAAACGCTTTTTTTAATGTAACACCTTTAATTAAACTTAACAATACTTTAACAATTTATTTTGGTTAAATTAAAGTTTTCGGAACAGAATAAAATTAGTTACTGATTTCTAAAGGATTTGAATAAGATATTCGAATGATATACTCGTATTCGTATATTAAGATCAAGTCTAGCTAAAATGAAAAATAAATTAAAACATAAATTCAATGATCCCCATTGCAACACAATGCCCAAAATGATATATAAGTTCTCTGTGTGCACTTCCCAGTCTGGTAATTAAATCTGCAGCCCGGTGCTTGATCGATGTGATCCCCATTCCCCCTTTACCTCCCCCTTCCCCCTCCGCCAGTAGACCGCCTCCTTAACCCCCGCCTTTAACCCACTCTTTCTCTACGTGCTCTCTAATGTGCATATTTGGTGTGGGCTGCGTTTTGGGTTCGCCATGTGGGCCGTCTCTCTGGAGGTGATTAAACTGCATTTTGGCAGCACTTTCAAACACACACACACTCGCTGCATTTCGAAAAATATGTGTCCCAAAGAAGGCGTGGCCATTTTAACGTTATGATTTTTGTCATATTTCTCGAGACTTTGTGGCTTTTACAATTCCATTCACTAATTTTAGTTGATTGTCGTGAATTTTATAGAGAAAACTTTAGTTTATTGAATATGGGTTTTGCAGTTGAATATTTTAATAGAAATTTAATAATATCATATTCAAATTTTTACGTCTATTTAAACGAATTTACGAGGACAAGTCATTCATGATTTAGTTACTGTTACTATAAAGTAAAAAGATTTAAGGATTGACGAATATGTCAATAGATTTTTTAATTGGTTGCTGTAAAAATTATAATTATTTGTAGATATAAATATTCCTCTTCTTAATTAAAATATAATATTATATAACACCGAAAAATTAAATTATGTAAGTATATAAATACCTTTTTATATTTAAATATTTAAAACCAAAAACCAATTGATATATTACAGACTTCCATCTATTTATTTCTAAGCCTGTTAGATGATCGCCAAGTTGGTAATAGAACTATTTAAGGTGTGTTTACCCCTCCTCCCTTCTGCAATATTATTTACCACATCCACCTACCATAACTTATTTTTACATTGCCATTTCCGTTGTGGGCTTTCCTCTCATTCATTTTCTTTACCGTTGCTTCGTTGACAGCCTTTTTCTTTAATTCGCGCTAGTGTTGCTCCTCCCAATGGGTGGGTCAAACCCCCTCCCCCTTTTCCCCAATTTGGCTATGCATAATGCACCCAAAATGGAAAAGGGGATATTGCATATAGCATAGAGCCATATAGCTCGTGTGGGGCCTTTTGGCTTGGAGTGTCTGTTTCGGTTTTGAGTTTTGCGGCTAACCGCAGCACAGTCGCATAGCGCGTGTGTTATAATAATCTATGGCACTTTAGAGGTTTAACCGATGGCCGGATAGATACAGATACAGATAGAAGTAGAGATAGAGATACAGTTCCAGATAGGCTGGCTGGCTTAGATGGATAGCGTGGCCAGATATTCAGATGCTTGGATACTGGGAGCTGTGGTAAATGTGGCAGACACTCGGGCGGGCTGGCTCTAAACTGTATTATATATCTATGGCCATAAAGCCCACGAGAGCTGAATTCGACTGGCATATATGCACGGAGAAAAATAATTATGCTAAGTCATTTTTAATAATATTTCTTATTTTAACCGATTTGTGTCGCATTCCCATAAATTACAAATTTTGCAGCACTAATTGTTTCGGTCTACAAAAACCAGATCTCCAGACCAGAATAATTCAATCAAGTGGCACATCTTGAGATCCAAACATTATGCGCTTTGCAGCTTCTTTTATCATTTGCGGTACGTCTTTAATAATTAATAAAAACGCAGTTAATAATACCTTTACTTTTCATTATTTTAGTGATCGCTCTAACTGCAGTAACAGCACTGAACCCCACACCAGCGTCCAAACCCGCGCCCAAAAAAGCGCCAAAACCAGCGCCAAAACCCGCGCCAAATAGACCTTACTATCCTTCTTACTTACCCCCTTACACTAGAAATCCCTATACACCTGACTATAGACCTTACACTAGAAATCCCTATAGACCCTATAGACCCCATAGATATTGGTACATTGGACCTAACAATAGAGCCTATGGACGTTATATGTTTGTGCCTACGCGAATGTAATCACACAGTTTGTTTATTTTCTTCACTATTTCACTTTGGAAAAGCAAAATAATCTGTGTAGAAATGCAAATTTCGATGGTAACGTTTCAAACCATTTTGCTTGATATCAATAAATCTATACTAACTATACCACTTCCACTTTTTCGATCGATTTAAAAAAAAACATCTTTTTTTACGCGACATTTTTAAAGAATTAAAAGTCAACTTTGTGTCACAGACTGTGATTAAATAAAAAATGTTCCAGCACTAATTGTTTCCAACTATAAAAGCCAGATAACAAAGCCAGAAGAATTCAATATAAAGGGAGGTAGGTCCTTGATAATTACAGGAAAATGACAATTAAAACGTTTACTTATTTTTAGTGTTATTTTAGTGATCGCCGTAGTTTCACGTCCCCCATCGTGAGGAGAATAATTTTTGGTTTTCAATTTTATGTAAATTGAATTTTTTCTTTTGCCTAACGCCCCTTTTTCGTGTGATTAAATAATATGATTTTAAAACCAAATTTTTTTTTATATTTCTTTATATTTTATATTGTTACCATACACGGTTTTAAGTACGTTTTTTCGAAGTATATTTATATAATTGTTTTATAAAGTTACTAACTAAATTTAACTTTCAGTTTTAAATATTATTACGAATATTTAAATTTTTTTTTTTCAGTGTAGTCACAAAATATAGCGAATAATGCGAATACAACTTTAATTTGAATTTGTAGGCTGCTTTGCCGTTTATTTCTAAGCAAACTCAAATGCGTGGGCGGCTCAAACGAAATTGCAAAAGATGCGTAGGCAGCGGCAGAGACGCCGGCAGAGGCAGAGGCAGCGACGGTCGACCGAGCGGCACAAATGCGGCAACAACAACTAGAAAATGTGTATAAAGTGGATATAGTTCATCAAGCGGACTGAAGTCGGCTTTTTACCTACGCATCTGACGATGCTCGAACAGCTCAGATCCAAGTGTAAATCGGGTTCTCTAGGCCCCCTACATACTTCTCGTACACTCAGAAAAATATATATATAATAATATAGAGTATAACAATGTTTAATGGGAGAACTACAAAAAATTCTTGAGATTCTATGATAGATATGATTAAATTTTTGCATACTCAATCCCCTTTTTCCGATTTTTTTTCTGTTATACGTTTTTTTCATAAGAAATACCGTTTTTATATTTTCCAATTTTTTTAAATAGAAGAATACATTTTGAAAGTCGTTTTCAAGCTATAGCATTATCAGATAAAAACATAATTTGTTTGATAAAATTTTTTTATTTTTATACTTATTATTAATTTAATTAATATGCTTTTACCAAATCCTAAATTCGTAATATTCTTTTTGAAAGTGTAGTTGTACTCGTAGACATAGTTGTTGCTGCCGGCCTCCCGCTGTAAAAAATGCTAATTTTCGTTGACATGCCATAGTTTGGCTAATGACGAAGGTTGTTTGTTAGCTTTGTCAGTTGACTTGACGCCGTTGCCAAAAAGTAAAAAAAAGAGTAAAAATAGAAGAAGAAACTTAAAACTGGTTACCATGTGTGCGAGAGAGTAATATGTGGATAGCAATGGAGTATGGCGAATAGATGAAGAGGGGGTTTAAATTTCTTTTGACGGAATTTCCATGAATTAATGCCGCTCTGCCGGATTATGCCGCTCCTCAGGTGTCCGGCACTTGTGTGCCTTATATATGGTCATATACCGATATAAAGTCGCAGGCCCAAGCAGATCTCAAACTGTGTCAAGCTGGAATCATTCAAATATCACCCCTCTTCGGGGGATTAATGATCTTTACCTGATTGAGGATCATCTGAATTCAGTAGCTTCAGCTGAACAGTTGATCTTTTTGGCCAGATAACAAGGCTACCAAAGATCGAACTGCGGATTCATTCATTAACCCAATATTAATTTGATTATTCGGTCTTGTAATTATTCATGAAGCTAACAAACCCATAATAAATGTATAAAATGAATAATTTAAGAGCTGCTAATAAAGCAGATGGCTACTGCCAGATTTCAGCTAGTGATCATTAAGTATTTAGTATTGGGTGGAGAAAAGTTGGCTATAAGAAGATAATCTATCTCGTTTTTGCTAATAACTGAATTTTAATTTTGTTTTTTATGCTTTGGGAAGTCTAAAATAATTTAATTTAATTATTAGGAAACACAAATAATTTTTAAAAATTTGTATTA